TGCGAAAAACCAATTTCCGCTCTGAGATTACGAAAATGGCCTCAAGAAGTAACTACAAATTCATTAAATTCTTCAACGAGATTTTCAGCCCTATAGCAATTTTTCGTTTGCCCAGCGCTATGGGCGTTAATGTTTTTCAGGTTAATAATCCACTCCACGCTTCATCTACTGTACCAGTTCATTGTGGCCTTCCAGTGAACCTGTCGGGTGCACTATTAATTGCCTCCCCGCAGTTTTCTTTAAAAGGCGTGTCGGTAACTCGCGTCTCAGTAACTTTTTGCTCGAACGTACACAACGAGGATGATGTTTTAGAGGGTAAGCTCTTTATAACGACACCCGTTCGTCCTTTGTCGTAGTACGTAACATGTCTTACGCTTTGACCTGCAAGGTGGTGCTGGTGGGAGATTTCTCCTGTGCGTTGTTGAAAAATAAAAAAAAATTCGCAGCGTGCACGTTAACTAAAATCCGAATTCTCCTGTCTCTCATTCCTGATTAGCAGCCATTGGCATGTACGTTGAGCACTATCTGACAAGAAAGGATTGCTACGTTATACTCGCTGGGCGTAACCTTCTTGGTTTTAGAAAGGTTTAGCGAGCGTTGGGCCGCAGTTCCATGAATACAGTGAACTAGTATATACCACGAACTCGATGTGGTTAAAGGTGGGAAGTAGACACGAAGCGCAAGCTGTAAGAAAGTGTGCGTGTGCCACCTCTCGTTTAGTCCTTGAAATGTCCACTGGATGGCGGTGCTTCCATATGCGGAATATATGATGAAAAGATGCGAGATGGTGGTACTTGGAGTGTTGACTTGGTACTTGGAGACAGGCCGATGCATGGACGGACGCATGGATGGCTGCACGGACTGATGGACGCATGGACAGACGCAGGGGTGAATGCATGGACAGACGCAGGGGTGAATGCATGGACGAACGCAGGGACGGACGCATGGATGGACATGCGGACGCACGCATGGACGTGCGGATTAACACATGGACGGGCGGATTAATGCATGGACGGGCGGATGAACGCATGGACGGTCACACAGGCGGACGCATGGACGGACAGAAGCAAGAACGAATGGACGGACGGATGCTTCGCCCCACTCTCCATCATTCACCCCGTGGATATGCGGCCATTTTTTTATCCATGTTATTTGATTTTTAATATGTCCGTGTGTCACTAGCATATATGCAGATAATTGAGAGCGCAAGCCCCGGATGCAATGACTCGTCGGGAGTCTCTCACAGTTAAACGAATATTCAAGGGGCGGACAGGGTGCACTCAGAAGCGTTTAAATGACAAATCCGGCCCTGTTTGCCCAACCTGACGTGTTTCTGCATAGCCTTCATTTGCGGCAGCCTTCGTTTGTCATTGATATCGGTTGAACACTGAATTCATTCAAAATTTCGCTCCCCGGTACTCCTGGTTCATAACTATATATCTATATCTCGCGTAGATGTAATTGATTGATATGTGGGGTTTAACGTTCCAAACCCACCATAAGATTATGAGAGACGCTGTAGCGGAGGGCTCCGGAAATTTAGACCACCTGGGGTTCTTTAACGTGCACCCAAATCTGAGCACACGGGCCTACAACATTTCCGCCTCCATCGGAAATGCAGCCGCCGCAGCCGGGATTCGATCCCGCGACTTGCGGGTCAGCAGCCGAGTACCTTAGCCACTAGACCACCGCGGCGGGGCCCGCGTAGATGTATGCACTCAGAGATTTAAGCGCGAAAAAATTGGGCTTAATAATGCTCGGATTTTGCTTTCAGCGTCTACAGTTGGTGCAATAACTGGCGTAATTTTGACTCTCTAGCGCCTATATATCAGAGGCAGCATTACCTATAGCAGCAAAATTTGACGCAGCCTGACGTGGTTATACCGAGCTTCGCACCAGTAGTCATACTACGAAAAATGATGTTGCGTCTCAGTCGCGAACGGTACATGTACACCTCGATTCACGGTGTGCCCTCACTTCGATTCCAATTCTTGGTGGCTGCATTGTGATCAGGGTGCTAAGCAAAGGTTTCATATATATAGTATGTTTAACCAAACATTGCAAAAAACAAGAGTAGTCTCACTTAGAATTTTTTGTCATCTTGGGATTGTATTTCACTAACAAGGACATTGCTTGGGGACGTTCATCACAATCGATCATCTGACTCCTAATTGCAGGAGAGCTTCTAAAATAATAATAATAATAATAATATAATAATAATAATAATAATAATAATAATAATAATAATAATAATAATAATAATAATAATAATAATACTAATATATAATATCTGGGGTTTTATATATTAACACCACGGTGCGAAGAGACGCTGCAGTGAAGGGCTCCGAAAATTTTGACCACCTCGGGATCTTTAACGTGCTACTAAATCTAAGTACAAGGGCCTCAAACATTTCCGCCTCCATCGAAAATGCAGTCGCCGCAGGCGGCATTCGATCTCTCGCCCTTCGGTTGAGTTCAGCGCTATAACCACCGCGGCAGGGCGCTTCGAAGAAAAGCGTGAAGCTGATATATTATCACGATATGCTGTCGCCGGTGTAGTATACGCCCGTGTCATGGCAGTATTATGAATATACTCGGCAGTTGTGCACATTGCCAGTGCAAACTGTCGTGGACTTTTGCGTCCCAGAACTATGACATGATTGTGAAGCAAGCCGATTAGAGGGCTCCGGAAATTGCGAGCATATGGTGTTGTTTTTTTTTTTTTTTACGTGCGCTGTCGTCGCACAGTAAACGGGCGTCTGGCATTCGCCGCCATTGAAACGTGGCCACCGGGGCTGGGGTCGAACCCGCTACCTTCGTACACCAGCAGCCGAGCACCATCCACCACTGCCCCGCCGTAGCGGACTGTTGCTAAAGTAGTACGCACGTGTATTGCAATTATTTTTTGTCGATTGAATGTTGTCGTCTTTATTTTTGTTATGTTTCCAGCAAAATGTTGTAGAATTTTAAGGCTGTCTTGGAGTTCGTTACCTTGCTATTCTATAGGACTACTTCGATAACGGTTGCCTTGCTATTCAGAAGTTGTTCGATTAGTGATCAATACCTATTCGAATCATTGTCATCACTATTCAATCCTGCTGTAAAATTCACTACTGGCCCAGTTTTACTACTACGTACGCCAAAGTTCCCAGTCTGTTGAATTCAGACTAAATCGGGCTCGGCAACTCTCGTTCGATCGAGTCAGATATCGTCGAGGAAAAAAAAGCAACAAAAACAAACGAGCGCAAAACAATTGCTCTCGAAGACATCGAGCGACGGACAGCTCTGTCGATCCTTTTCAGACTCTAAGGCATACGACGCCGCGCCATCAATAACGGGATTTCCATCTCACGTATATCTCGTCAACTTGCTAGAAGCTCCTTTCGTTTTTTTTCCTCTATTTTTGACATGCGCCGCCGCGCTGTGCGTGGGAATATTATCTTGTGTTCGGCCGTCTATCCATTCACTGTCTGGATACCTGTTTCCTTATAGAGCCTTTTTTGCCCGTCTGTTTACGTGGCACCCTTGACGTACTGCGTCGCAGGCAGTCAATCGCACAGCGGCGCCACGCTCTTATAAAACATCACTCTACTGAGTGCGATGCACAGCAACGGCTAACACAACAGACTAAACTGAGAAGGGAGGAAGATAGTCTAGAATTCTGACTATAGAATGAAAACGGAAGAAAAGCAGGAAGACTAATCCAAGGAGGTTAAAAAAAAAGGACTCCTTGGGCTATAACCAGACGAGTTGAAACTTTCGCTAAACTGTGTTGCCTTCTTACTCTCATCCCAATTTTATTAATGTTGTACCTTGCATGCGCCTATATAAACCTCCTGCCGTGGTGGTCCAGTGGCTAAAGTACTCGGCTGTGGACCTGCAGGTCGCGGGATCAAATCGCGGCTTGATTTTCGATGGAGACGTAAATGCTGTATGCCCATGTGATCAGGTTTGGGTGCCCGTAAACGAACCCCAGGTGGTCGAAATTTCCGGAGCCCTCCACTACGGCGTCTCTCATACTCGTATGGTTGTTTTGGGACGTTAAACCCCAGATATCGATTGATATGTTTGTAGGAAACGGCTTGCCCCAGTATAAAATCTCGTGGACCAGAGCATCTAAGCGCAAACTCAACGAATCTTGCAGACGGAGGAGAGACAATATCCAGCACACCACACTTCACCTTCTGGTTCCCCGTGCGTCTGCCTACAAACGTACAGGCGGCAGTTTAGGGTGTGCGTAAGTGTTGACAGTGACCCTTAACAGCTGGAAACTTGACACTGTTTCACGCCATCACTCGTCTGTGCTCGCTGTACGTGCAGGCCGAACGACAAGAGCGCTTTTCACGCTTGGCTCGCGTTTCAGTAAGAGAGAAAAAGTAGGCTCCAGAGACTGAAAAAGATACGAACCGCGTATACTTAAAAGCGAAAAGAAAAAAGCAGAGGAAGAAGTCTCCAAGTTTTCATTTTGGAACAAAAAATCTGTCACAGCTGATGTACGGCGCAAAACGCTTGCGACGCTGGAAAGAAGAAAAAAAAAGCAATCCGCGAGAGATAAAGCGAGAGGTGGCGACATAGTAGACGGGAAAGACTAAACTCGCAGCTCGAGATTCGAGCTTTTTGAAAGCCTTCTCGCTTTCACAACCAACCGAGCTTGTTCCTTATCCTTCTCTTCCTCTTTTTTTTCGTAAGCTAGTGCGAAGACGATCTAACCCTAACGGGCGCGAAGCATCCAAGCACGAGTCCGTTTCGCTTTTATTTTTTTTCTCCTCGCGCTCCGCAGAGCAGCTCTCTTCACAGTCATCTCGCTCGTTTGACAGCGGCGCCTGCAGACCCCGGCGGTCTCGCTCTTTCTTGTTTTCTTTCTCTCTTTCCAGTCTTGTTGACTTTCCTTATTCTCTTCTTCCTTCTCGCCCTCTCTCTCGCTCCTCTCAAAGCGCCGACGCCACGCGCTCTGCCGCGGGAGAAGAGAAGCGGCGCGTTCGTCGGCGCGTGCGGTGGACGCCGCGTATGCAAATCGGGAGACCAACTTCTGCGTGCCCCCCTCCTCCCTTTCACATACACACACCTTTTCCCTCTTCCTATCACATCGTGCTGTTCTGGCGAGCCGGCTGTTCTGGGCATCGTGTTCTCTACTGACCGCGGCGTTGGAATAAGAAACACGCTCCCGGTGCTGCACGCAGTCTAAGAGAGGGACCAGCCTTCTTCCGGCGAAGCGAGCAACTCTATCGAAGGAAACGGAAGCCGCTGCCTTTGGCATCATTTGTTTCCCGTCGACGCCGCCGATCGCCCGCTGCTTTTGAGGCGTGCGGATCGTGTCTGATAACAAGTGCTGTGTGCCTGTTCTCCTCCATCGTGCTACTCGCCTAGGCGATGTAAGGTGAGTGTGCGGTTTAACGCTGATTTTGTTTCGCTAGCTATATTATAGCATTTCATGATACTTGTCCTCGATATGCGGGAGTATATCTTCATAAGGTCGTTAATTACGAGAACTTCCGACTGCAGCTTCAATAATGAGTGTACTGAGAGTAGTTGCCATGCGTGATTCTGTAGTGCTTTTGGGGTTAATTCATATCTTGCAATGTTACCTGCGGGGAAAAAAAATGCACACACGTGATCAGTTTCGGACGTAAGTTTTATTGGTAGTGCGTGATGCATACGTTTACTAAAGCCAAAGTCGTCGGGCGGCCACGCTGTGGCGGCCAAATGTCGCAGGAATTAGCAAGGAAACTATGTGTAGCCAGGATATCTTTTCCGAAAAAAAAAAATTAAAATCTAATATAGTAATGCTTGCATGCAAGATGAGAACGTCTGCAATCACTCGCACAATGTCAATACCCCCCACCCCCCTAAGATTTGCGGAATCAATTAAAAAAAAAACTCAAGTGGCCACTTGGCATAAGGCGAGGGCTTCATATTTGCACGTTTGTACGCTAAACGAGCTCAGGGGGAGAGAGAGAGAGAGCATGACAAGTGAACCAGTCAGTACAATCATGACACTGCGAGAGACATACAATAATGCAGCGGTGTGATTTCATGCAGTTGAATGAGTACAGCTGCACGAGGGTTTGCCCTCATTTTAAACATCATGCGCTACGCGTTTTTGTTTTTGTTCAGTTATAAGTAGGAACATGCAGATGGGCTGTCCCGAAAATGTCATAAATTGCATCCAAGTTAAGATTTCACTCTCCCGAGCGCACCGCTTGAATTCGTGAGTTCATATTTTCAATATCGTGAAGTCTCGACAACAGCCTATATGAAGAAAAAAATACAGCAGTGTATTTTTGCTAAAGTAACAGTTTGTCGCACTTTGAAAGCGGCATTCGTAACCTTCAGGCTTAATATTTTCAAATTCAACTGTTAGACTTCGGAAATATAAAGGTGCTTTCACCTCTGATTATCGGCATGGATTCTATCTAATAGCGACGCATTTAAACTTCAATATCTGGTTTACTTGTTTAATTGTGTGCTACGATTCATTGTTAGTGTTCGTTTCCTCAAACGGGATAGAGGTTCTACTGCATTCGTTGAGAATAAACATATTTTTTCAGCCTGTATTTTTTTTTTTGCTTTAGCGGGGGGAATTTTCGTCGTTAACATCGTTCACGCTGCTGTCACTGTTACGTGTCAGCTTGCTACGACTAGAAGACGTCGTAGCTGCGCCAATGGCTCGATGCTTACAATGACGCGATGAGAATATTATAGTGGCAAACTCGATCGGGCCTTGCAGACCAAACTATTTGTACGTATACGAGCCTACGACGATGATACGCTTTCGTTGTGCTTACTCTATAGGATAACCGAGCGCTGCTAAGACACCTCATCGATAGGCTTGAGAAAGAGGGGTGGTGGTGGTGGTGGTGGTGGTGGTGGTGGTGGTGGTGGTGGTGGTGGTGGTGGTGGTGGTGGTGGTGATATCTTTATTTCTCTCAGAACGAAAAAAAAAATGGCAGCATATCCACGGGGTGAATGATGGAGAGTGGGGTGGAACATCCGTCCGTCCATTCGTTCTTGCTTCTATCCGTCCATGCGTCCGTCTGTGTGACCGTCCGTGCGTGCCTTTGTTCGTGCGTCCGCATGTCCATCCATGCGTCCATCCCTGCGTTCGTCCATGCATCCGCCCCTGCGTCCGTCCATGCGTCCATCAGTGTGTGCAGCCATCTGTCTGTGCAAGCACTCTTTAACGCCATTCAATAAATAGGGTCTTTTAGCAAGTTACAGAAATACGGTACGCGAACACGGCACGCAAATTCAGTTCGGTATTACCGTACCCCTCGACCATTACCAGTAATTGAATGGAAAGTTTTACCGATCGTTGACCGGTGAGTGCACCCAGCGAACACGAAAGCTTTTTCAAAAATTACCGTGGAAATTGTCACGCCTTGTTGTGGCCTCTCAGCCTACGCACTGTTAACGAGAAACCAGTCGTGCCGAGGACGCCTCGCCACTGGAAAGGAGGTGAGCTACCGTATCGCCTACCGTATTCGCGTACCGTATCTCCGTAGCTCCGACTTTGCGTCGTGCTCCCTTAAGGGTTGCAGAAATTAGGCTCCTCTTCCTTTCTCTAGCCACCACCACGATTTCCGTAGCTTGCTAAAAGACCCCAACGTTATGCATTCGATCGTTTACACTCACACATAAAATATTACCTTTAATTCTTTTTGGTGGTTCTTGATTTATTACGTGCTGAACCCTCGTTCAAGTTGATCGTTAATCCTCTTTTGGAGTTTCTCGCGTATACTGCCTTCAGAGAGTCGTGGGAGACGCGACTCTTGAGAATGGAGAATCCTTATCTTTAGAGACCGACACACGACTATTTTTTTCAGGAATGGCCTAAAATGAAGTAAATTACTTTACGAATTACAACTGACTGAATGTATAGGACAATACGTTACTGGTACTTTGAAAAGTTAAGCTACTTTTTATGAAGTGTTAACAGAAGTTTGCGTTTAAATGAACCTATGTTGCCTCGACGTTCGTCCTCCAACGTCGGGGAAAGTAGGAGCATCTCGAGGCACTCTGAATACAAACTGTTTTTCAATTGTTTTTCGTTTTCTGGTAATTTTTTGTGACGTAAGGTAAGCGGGAATGCAGTGAAAGCGCAATAAGTAATTTCTCTGAAATTACTCTCTTTAAGTAATCCATGACACAACTAAAAAAACCAGCCAAAAAGAATATATGTTTACTATAAGTTCTGCAGAAACAAAAAAAAACGTTTCCAAAAAAGAAAAATGAGCAAGAAAAATTAAAAAATAACCCCGACGGGAACTTAGACAATAACGCAATAGCAGCGGACAGTTCACTTCCAGGAGGTCACTTTTCGAGAAAACGTTTGCACGCGCAATTTCGTTATTGCCAAGTCTACAGTATGACCAAGGTCACGCACGCGCAATTTCGTCATTGCCAAGTCTACAGTATGGCCAAAGTCACGCACGCGCAATTTTGTCATTGCCAAATCTACAGTATGGCCAAAGTCACGCACGCGCAATTTCGTCATTGCCAAGTCTACAGTGTGGCCAAAGTCACGCACGCGCAATTTCGTCATTGCCAAGTCTACAGTATGGCCAAAGTCGCGCACGCGCAATTTCGTCATTGCCAAGTCTACAGTATGGCCAAAGTCACGCACGCGCAATTTCGTCATTGCCAAGTCTACAGTATGGCCAAAGTCACGCACGCGCGATTTCGTCATTGCCAAGTCTACAGTATGGCCAAAGTCACGCACGCGCAATTCGTCATTGCCAAGTCTACAGTATGGCCAAAGTCACGCACGCGCAATTTCGTCATTGCCAAGTCTACAGTATGGCCAAAGTCACGCACGCGCAATTTCGTCATCGCCAAGTCTACAGTATGGCCAAAGTCACGCACGCGCGATTTCGTCATTGCCAAGTCTACAGTATGGCCAAAGTCACGCACGCGCAATTTCGTCATTGCCAAGTCTACAGTATGGCCAAAGTCACGCCGGTTTCACATGACACCCTGCCGATCGCGATTAAGCCCGATTAGTATTGAATTTTCGCCACAGTGATTGGTCGCCTTCTGCAGCTTCCGTGAAGTAGCCAATCCCGATGAAGAAGAATAGCAGCAGTGATGGCGGGCTATTTATGGTTTATTTTTTCGAAGAAGGTGACTCCTATCCGAGATAATTTTCGCGTGAAAAATGTTAGTACAAAAACAGAAAACATATATCTTGTTTTTGGTGTCGCAGTGTGAGTACGTGCTAGCGCGAATGCAACGTGACGCCGTACGCAACCGGGTACACTGCATTCCAATGCAGATACGCTGCGCATCGACTAAGAAGAAAGCAGAGACTACGCCGGGAGAAACCAGATTAGGGCGAGAAACGACGGAATGGCCTTTCGATCTCACGGTTGTTCTTTTTTTTTTTCACTTTGTTTTCGTCAGGCTTCTTCTTTCCACTAGTAATATTGACAGCCCTTAAGAGATATGTTTTGCAAACATATGAACGTCCAACATATATGCTTGCTATGTTGATCCATACTGGCACTTGTGAAAGGCTGGAAAAACTCTATTCGTATATGTTCTCTCTCTCGCACGCACGCACACACACACGTACATACATTATACATTGTACATACGTAGTGGTTGTTTTAATTTTATTTCAAACAGTTTCGACTGGTGGACCGGTCGTATATATATATATATATATATATATATATATATATATATATATATATATATATATATATATATATATATATATATATATATATATATATATATATATCGTGTGGGTTGTTGATGAAGGTGAAGGTGTACGGAACACTAAAACAATACTTTCTATCTAGAAAGTTGCCCTTCGGCGCAACAAGTTTTGCAACGCAGCCAAGGCACACTTTTGAAAACCGTTTTGTCCTGTCGACATTTTGTTTAATTTTGACGCAAGTCTATCAACGACACTAACAGAAATGCCAATCTGTTAATGTGTCTCATGTTGTCGTGTCACATGTGGTGTTTTTGCGTGTGCGTAAGAGAACTTTGATGGTTTGATAACGTCCCAACACAACACAAGGGCCCTGTGAAACGGCGTTAATAAGAACCAAGATTTGAACACCTGTAAGAACGTGACAATGCTGTCGCATCTTTGCTTCTAGTCCCTTCGCACTGTCTAAATCTTTGTAGCTTACCAGTGAGCCCCAGTTACAACCTTATAGTCTCTTGAACAGGCTTCGTTTGCTGACTGAGAGAAATGCAGGGAGAAGGAGTGAAAAGCAGGGAGGTTAATAAGGCGCATGTCTGTTAATAGCGGAAAGGATGATTCGCACTTAATTTTGACATCTCGGCAAGCAAGCAGCAAAAAGTTCTAACCAATAATATCGCTCGCATTCTGCTCTACACAAAAATTGGCTACCGCATTCGGCA